CATTTCATGTTGTTAAACCTAACTCTATCGTGAATTTTGTTTTTCATCGTTCTAATAAAACGCTCGGCTACATTTGCGTGGGTCTTCGTAACGATGTGGTTTATTCCTTCACTGTTGAAGAAATCCTGAACTTGATTTTTAGTTGCAAACGCTCCGTCGTCATCAGAATACACGGACATCGGATAACCCATCTTTTTAAAGCTTGCTCTCAACGCCTTCAAAACGTTCTCTCCGTCTCTTTCCTCCATCGGTATTACATCTGCTAATTTACTGAGGATGTCAATCACGACTAAAGCATACTGTGGAACGTTCTTGTCTTTTGCTAAAGGAGACATATGCATTATGTCTATTTGATATTCATATCGTGCGAATGGAGCGGTATAGGAATTAGTTCCTCTATAATTTTTGAGTTGTTTATTTGGCTGTTTCTTTAAGAAAGACTTTACATCGTCTAATGTTATTGTTGGGTCTTCTTCCTTTGCCTTCTTGTGTGTCGCTTGTGTGCTTCCGAAACCCTCGTCTAAGTAGTAATAGATGTTGCTGATTATTTGGTCTTTTGTTAATCTCGCCATTATATTAAATTGTTAGAAAATATTTTTTCAATATAAAGCCCCACCCCTTAACATAAAATACAAACTACTTAAAGAAAAATGGATATAATATAGTAAGAAAAAAAAATGACACTGTTTAATTATGATAAATGTCCTTGTAAAAATAAAAAATTTAAGTCTGTCGTGGCACTAGCTAATATTTTACCTGTTGATGTTTGTAATCTTATAGGTGGTTGTATTAAACCAACATGTTTTGATTGTCGGTATTTGATAGAAGAAGAAGAGCATTTTATGAGTGATAAAAACATTCCTGAAGAAGGACTAGAAAAAGCAGAGCTTCAGTTAAACATTATTCAACAAATACAAAATAATGATATTACACAACTAACAGGATACCATTTTAGTTTAAAACATTACAGAAAAAACATTGACAGAGTATTTGATATACAAGAAGTTAAAGAACGGTTTAAAAATAGAAAAATGTATTATCAAGCATTAAAATCATACTGTAAGAATAATGAATATGAAGTTTGTGTAGTTTTAAAACATTGTCTTAAAGTTGAAGAATTAAAATATTGGAAACAAAATGGATTTTGCTTTCCAAACCTAACCAGTTGGTGGTCATATAGAAATAACAATTATTATTTGAGACATATTCTTAGCGATTTAATTGAAATTTACACAGACCAATTAATAAAAGGATACGAGCAGTATTTTTGTGAGTATAGTATGAGTTGTTATAGTGGTTGTATCGCTGGTGAGATTGAATACGGGTCAAATTAACTTTTGTTTATTAATATTATTATCTTATAATATGATTAAACATTGTTTTATAATCTAACAAGAAGGTTAAGACATTTAAATTAAACCTGAAACCCAGACCAGCCGACCAGCAACCCCCTAGCCAATGAGAGATGTTAATATTATTTTTAAAATGATGTATGAAAGAAGTAAGACAAACCAAATAGATTATTATCCTGAACTGAAATTATAATCATAATATAATAATAACATGTAAAATCTTATATGTTATAATTATACTGAACTTTTAACCTATAACACCCCTTAAACTTATCTAAAGAAATAACCCCTTAAACATGTAGAGACCAATGACAGACAAAAAGCAATGTTCCAAATGTAAAGTCTTTCAATTGTTAGAAAAGTTCAACGAGGGAAGAAAACAATGTAATGTATGCTTGGAAAATAAACTACGGTATAGAGAAGCACACAAAGAACAAATACAGCAGAAGGCAAAGGTTTATTATGAACAAAACAAAGAACACAGACAAGCATATAGGAAAGAATACATCCAACGGAAAATTGAATGTCAATACTGTAGATGTATGGTAAGCCCTCAACACAAAGCAAAGCACGAAAGAACAAACAAGCATATCAATAATGTTAAGAATCCAAAACCACCAAAGAGAGAAGAAACACCAAAAGAAAACAAACAAACAACACAGAAACAAATTAGAGAATACATAGAAACCTCATCAGATTTTGAATATGACTTCAACAAAGAATAGGATAAAACAAAAGCACCACCAACATCCCAGAACATTATAACTACTAAAAGGGCTACCTCTTTCAAATGAAAAAAATGTTTGCCCCCAGCCCAACAATGAACAAGGCGACAATTTACCCAAATGATTACCTTAACGAAAACGATAAATAAGCTCCCCAAAAACCCTCTTTTAAAAACGGATAAGGTGGTTAATAGGTTTGAGATGAACATAAAAACCAGAACAGGCAACCATCAACAGGCTTCCCCTCAGGGCCCCTACTTCTTCTATTTTTTTTTTTTTTTTTTTTTATTTTTTTTTTCCCCTCCCGCACCCCCCCCTCACCTTCCCAACCTCCCCGTAGCGACCCTCGACATCAACGAACCCCAAAACTTAACAGTACCCTATCTTTTTCCCCCACGGCATCCCCCCACGAGAACACACCCCCCCCCAACCCCCCCGCTGATGTTTAGAATGTTTACAGAGATTACCGCACCCTTTGCTGAATCATCACTTCTTCGATCATCACCACCCTTTGTTGAATCATCACTTCTTCGAGCATCATGGGGGGGGCTGCCGCCCCCCCCAAGCCCCCCGCTGATTTAATGCTGCCTGCGTCAAACTCTGCGCCGTACCTTGCGAAAGTGCTGCGCGCCGCGAAATTGGTACCTCTTGTGAAAGTGCTGCGCCTGCCGCGAAATCTGGACCGCACCTTGCGAAAGTCCTGCACCTGCGAAATCTGTACCTCACCTTCCAAAAGTATTGCGCCTGCCACGAAATCTGCACCTGACCTTGCGAAAGTGCCGCGCGTGCCACGAAATCTGTACCTGACCTTGCGAAGTGCTTCGTCTGCCACGAAATGAACAAGTTATTTTTGATCCCTATAAAGTGTTTTTTGATCCTCTGATTTTTCATTTTTAATAGTAATCAATGAGATCAAGTTTTTGTTGATCCCTAATAAGTTTTTTGATCTTTAGAAATAAGTTTTGTTTTGATGCCTAAAAAGCTTTTTGATCCCTCACCCATCTGGGCGGTCCCAATCTTCCATTTCGACACATACCATGCAGATTGCCCGTGACCGCCTCTTTGGAGAAAAGCTGACTCCAAATCATTGGCTTCCAAATAGCAAGGTTGTGCTTATTTGTTGCCAAATATCCAAGAGAGGTTCCTGTGTTGCCGTGCTCAGTTGAGCCAGCAGAAAAACCTTCTCTGCTTGTTGATGCCAGCTGCACTTTGTCTGGTGATGCCATTCGATTATTCCGATGCATGTAGATCGAGCTGCAATCTTTAGGGCGGGAAAGGCAATAGGTTAAGAAGCAATTACAAGATCGATCAGGGGTAATATATATATAGGGGCAATTACAAGAATAACAGCCGACCCCTTGACATGTTGAGTTGGCATCGTGGCGTTGGCCGGCAGCCTTCAAAATGGCAACTGAAACCAACACATAGCAGTCTTTAAGTCCAGCCCAGACTGGTTGTATATATGCTTCTCGTATTCTCCTGGACTAGCTGGACATTGTGCGCATCTAGATTGTCGGTATACAAGAAAAATAAGAAGAATAAAAAAAACATTGAAGATGGTTGGCTAAGTGGATAATTTCAAGGAAGTTGCTTGGTTGTTTGTTTTGTTCTGTTGAGGGGATACACTTACATCAATCCTGTAGTTCGCTCTTCAACGGCACGGAACACCACCCTGACACGGACAACCCCTGCCCAACACTAGGCTCCCCCGGACGCTTCCTGTAGAGGGTTTTGTTCGATTCCCCTTCCCTGTTCGCCTGTTTCTCCCTTTTGCCATCAAATTGGGAGGGTAGTTCTCCTTTCCCGGATGTCGAGCCGCAGTTGCCGGAAGGACGCGGAGTACCCGGACCGCCAGGGCAGAGCTCGGCGAGTGAACTGGGGCTGGGCCCAGGTGCCGCCGCAGAGCGCGCAGAGCCTCCCCCGAGAGCTCCTCGGTTCAGAATGGGGGCCAAACGAAGGGAGTACTAAGCCAAACGAAGGCAAGGCCTTCAAGGGATGATTCTCTTGGGAACGAGAGAACAGCTGTGAGTGGGAGCCGTCCGTAAACCCTTGCTTTTGATTTATGCTTCCCCCAAATGGATGCGTCAAACAGGTCTGAGACTGCGCGAGCGGAAGACAAGCAGTGGTGCCGCCCGAGTTATGCGCAAGATCAAGTCTTTTAGAATCATTGCCCTTTTTTGAAAGCTTGGCCGCTGCTTGCACAGTTGCCATGACATGGTACCGGCTTGCTTGGCTTGTCTCGGCAGCTTTCCAATTTTTGCTTGGCCAGCCCATCCCTGCCCATAATCATGCAGCATAACGGTCGTTGGCACGGTGCCGGCCCCCATCAGCATGTGCACTCCCCCATGCCCTTCTTGTTGACTGCTGCCCTGACCCTTTCACTTCCCAAGATTGGCGATCTTCAGCGAGGGTGGCCCAGGCAATCTTTTGTTCCACCGGAGTACTTGATGTTTTCGTGACCTTTGGTTCTCAGCGACAGGGTGCAAGTTTTCGCTGGCGGCCCCAGCAGAACTCCGAGGCTCAGCTTCAACGCGGCGGCGCGGCAAATACAGCAGGCGCTCAGCGGGCAAGCAGGGGGTTGGACGAGGCACTCTGGTGGGTGGCAGCGCTCGTGTTCTTCTTCTGCCACCCACTTTTGCATTGATGCTTTGTCTGGGGTTCTCACAAGATAAACAGTGCATGACTTTGCGAGACCTGGTTTGGCAATCTGGGGGAAGCAAAAGAAGGTTTCCGGCCAACCAACAATGGATATACATAATAAGTTCAACCCCTGACAGGCCGGACCCCTCAGGACCCGAGAGCAAGTCTGGAACATGCGGAGCTTTGACGGCTTTGGTTTGGATTCCCGCATTTCAAGCTTCCAAATGGTTATGGTTTTTGCAGAGAAAAAGCAAAGGGCGTGTCCCACAGAGGGCCACTCGAAATGGCCGCCACTCTTTTCTGATTTTCTTCTAAAATTCTAAACCACAAGCCGCTCTTTCTTCACCCCAAACGGATTTCTTGTTGGATTGCTAAAGCGGAAACCGCTGTCTGGATGCCCCGATTGGAGATGACGCATCGGCATCGGCCAGGCGCCGCTGGCGGAGCTGGTGCAACTACGGCAGAACGCTTTGGCGCACGCCTCCGGTCAGGCGCGCAGCACGTGCCATGGCTACCGGTGGCTCCACTTTTTGGGGTTTGTGTCAAAGAATCGGGGAACCGGATCAAGAAAGGTGGTTTTGCTTTTGGTGTCTCAAGCCCCTACCTGATCAGGGTGGCCTAAATCAACACAGGTGATATCCCCAACACCCGCCCTCGCGGAACCCTCCGAACCGCTTGTGTCCCGCACCACCACGAGCCTATCTGAACGAAGAGTTGCTGGGAGAGCTCCCGCGAGCCAACCCAAACCTGATCTGGGCTGAGACCCCTTAGCTCACCCCCGTCTGGGTTGATGCTCTAAGGCAATCCTCAAGATCCTTGTTTTAGGTTGGGTAGGTCAGGTCATGTCCCATGGGATTATACGCGCAGATTGGCCAGCCCATCATGTGGAACAGCCCAGACTCCGTTTGAAACCGTTTTAGTCCGTACTTCCATGGTTGGATGTCTAAAAATGGAGCAACCAATAGAATCCACAACTTGGCGGGGTGCCCTGTTTCAATTGGACATGGCCAGGGTCCTTCTGTAGATTGACATTGGCTTCCATTCGTGGTTCTCGAAATTGAAGGCCGCTAGAAGTGGTTGGTCTATGTTTGAGAGATCCCCGTGAAATCGAATGTAAAATGTTGACAGGAATCTCCTTAGGGACCGGACCGCTAAAGCTTGTCTTCCGGATGAGCAAGTGTCAATGTTTGCAGTTTGCCCTTGTCTACTGCAGTAAAGTGCATGGCTTTTGGGGGGCATTTCTCTGCTTTCCACCAGCAATTGTTGGTTACTCACTGCACAAACGACCGCTTAACCACGCGAACGTGGAATGATTGTGTTGACGTTTACACTATGTATCATCACATAAGTTGGTGAATGAACAATCCAGTTGTTGCTTGAATGAAGTGGTGGGGGCCCACTGCATTTGGTGATAGTTGGGTCGAAGAATAGATCAAATTGATCAACAGCTCAGCAACACTCTCACCATCAAGGGAATACACCCGAACATGTCAGTATTGCCCATTTGGAGTAGTCCTTGCCTGCTTTGCTAAGCCTAGGCGTTTTGAACACCTCGAGTACCCATCCTGAATGAGTCAAGGGTGCCTTTTGCTACTTTGCAAAGCATGTCGACCATGGCACATTCCCTGCTCGGCACAAAGGCAAGCGTAGTGCCTGGCAAACTCGACGATTCGCGTTGCCACGTGGATTGGGCACTTGACAGCGCCAGGCTGAGGGGCAAATCAGAGTCGAGGTTTGAGTCCACAACGACGTACCCAATTGACTGGCCAGGTGACCGCCTTCAAAGAGCTCCGCTTGAGGCAGGAAGCGAGGGAAGGAATATGGCTACTTTCATTTTCTAAATATGTCTTGGTGCTTAGACATCATGATTTGGACATACGCCAAGTTTCACTGACTTCTAGAACAGATGTAAGGTAAAATGGGGGATCTCTAGGGGAGGGCCCAACTGCAGGAGAGCGCATGGTCAATTTTGGAGGGACTCTAAATTCTCCACCAAACAAACCTGGCATGCAGCAGCCTAAAGACATCTACGTTGTCTATCTTACTGGGGATCATGTGAGTGGTGATGCAAACCGGGGGTGGGGACCCCCAGCGGCAACAGTTTCCTGTCCTTTCCAAGAGCGTCCGTTTTTTCGAAACACGTTTGCACAGCCGGGGCACTTGCGTGGCTAAAAGTGAGTGTCAACAAGAACTCCCTTTCAAGTGTTCCGAGACACCCAGGAGTGGTTGTTGTGGTTCCGAAACACCCAGGAACGCCATGTTTCACCTTGGGCTGATCGGATCCCCAGGTATTTTACGCTAAATCTGGAATTGGACGGCCTCATGGGTACGGTTTGAATCACTGATTTCGGTTGTCCAGTGGTGCCCTCCTTTTGGTGAGAAGCTACCTGCAAACACGCAGGTACGGAAGAGCTTAAAACCCGGTACTCCTCTATGGTTTGTCAATGCTTTACCTTTTCTCAAACAAGTCACTTTGGGTCAAAACACAAAGTTCACTCCTGCAACTTGTCCAGTGACAAACTCGAAGCCCAGACGGCCGACCGACAAACCGCATCGCTTCGGGCCAAAGTCGCAGGCTACCCCCAGGCAGCGCCAAGCACAGCGAGAGCGTGGTGGTCTTGGAGCTGCCGCAGCGCCGGGCCACGCTGCGGGTGGGTTGCTTTGCCACAATCTCAGGGAGTCGGGGCACTGGGAGGGCAGAGGGAATATGGTTACATATATATATATATATTATTATGCATACTGCTTGAACATACACATTCATTTTCAAATTTTGGTTGCCCCAAGCCAGTTTTACCCTCTGGTTATTGTAATAGCAAAGCCGAGGAAAGTTGTTGCTGAGGAGTTCTTCGCCCTTCGCGCACATTTAGATTGGCATTTGCAGCATGTTTGTCTCATTCAAATTGGAGGATGTGCTGCAGGTGATCAGTTCTAAACTTGTCGATTTCACGGAGAGGGAGCCTTCTTGGATGCAGCAAAGATGGTTTGCGGGCTCCCTGCCAGTTCTCAGCCTAGAAGTGGAGGGATCAGGAAAGTCGCGACGTTCATTGGGTGAGCTAAAAAAGTTGTGCATGTCGCGAAGTGTATGTTCCTATGGTGAATTCCAAGCCTCAAGCTGAGCAGTTAGGGAGTCATAGTATGCGGCTTCCAACCAGTTGTGCAACGTTTCTCCTTTGCTTGCTTTGCTTGGTAATTTCCCTACCCACCAACAGAGAGTGTTGCTTTTCTCCATGGCCGCTTGCCATGGCCACCACCTTCCAAGGCTTCGCCAGCTCAAAGTCCTCGGGGTGGATGGAGGGCATGGACCTGCCTGGGCGCGACTACGTGACGCGCCTTGGATGTTTCTTATTCGAGGATACCTTTTTTGCAGCTTCAAAGGAAAGCCAAAGGAACATCACCATTTTGGAGCCCTAACTAAAATAGCCCTTTCCCCACAGCTTGTTCCTTGCTTTCCTACGAACAGCCGATGCTGCTCGGCCAGCTGCACCAGTATACCAATTGGCAAGCAGAAACTTGTCACCTACTCATTGCCAACTTAGGCAAACCTGCATCATGGCCCTTGATCATGGTGCATATCCATCAGCAACTATGTTGTTTTGGGAGGTACTTTGGTGTGGGCGAACATTGATAAGCGCAAGCTCCGCTTGGACATTTCTAGAACTAGCGTATGATTGGCAACCCTGGCAATGTGTCATGCTCAATCGATCTCAGTCCCCAGCGGGAGTTTACTGCACTCTCTTGAAATTCAGATATTCTAAGCATACCGACCACTTATGTGCATATAGGTTGACAAGCACAGCTCTTTGTCGGGATATTAGCCGCTCTCTAATTAGACGGGTGAACAGATGCTTGTCTATGATACAGAAGAAGGACATGGCCCGTTGGCTCCCCAAGATCTCAGTAGCAACTGAGCTGCCCAGCCACAAACTTTTGACCTGCCAACACACCGTATGACTCCATTTTTCCTGGCCCGTGAACCTTACCCGAAAGCGGGGAAGTCGAATGCGCGAATGGCTCCTCCCTCGAATGTCGCACATCTTAGGACCCAGCACCCCAACGGAACGGCGGAGGGGTGCAGAAAGATTTGCGAGGAGGACCAGAGAAAGATGGGAGCATTTCTTGCTTAGGCTGTCTTAAAGGAAGCACCAATGCAATAATAGGGGTCTCTATTCTTAGCATGTTCCCACATGAGAGTCGTTCTAAAACCCTTGCTTTGTTTTTTAGAATGAGGTTATTTTTATGTTTTTGCAGTTTGTATAGGGTTCGAGTCGCAGAAGCTCCGCGGAAGCTCCGCGGAAGCGCGGCGGAAGCTTATGACAAAAAGTAGCACGTGCTTAGATCTCATGCTTTCATGATTATATGTAAGGTGTTTTGTTTTTTTGTCTGCAGCGCGGAAGCTCTGCGGAAGCTGTGCGGAAGCTCCGCGGAAGCTTTGTATGCGGGAGTCATTCTAAAGGTCCTTGTGCTACAAAGCTGCGATTTTCGAGCTGGAGCTGCGGAAGTGTATTTCGCGTGCTACACTTGTACTACAAAGCTGCGATTTCCGAGCTGGAGCTGCGGAAGTGTACTTTGCGTGCTACACTTGTACTGCAAACTTGCGCTTTTCGAGCTGGAGCTGCGGAAGTGTACTTTGCACACTACTCTTCTACTGACTTGCCTTGAACAAGCCACTTGGGCTGAGAAAACGTCTTTTGGTGACAAGGCCAACGTGCTTCGATAACGCGTTTTGTCGCGGAAGCGCGGCGGAAGCCTAAAAGCGAAACTGCCCGGGCACAGACATTTAGTAATTAGAACAACCCTCACACGCAACAACTCAAACTTGACATCTCTCCTCCAGCAAAGCTGCTACGTGAGCAGAGGGGTTTTTGAGTCTGCACTTTCATTTCGTGTGAGCAGGGAGGGCAAGGTCCTTAGGTAGGTTCTCTCACTTGAAGCCATCAAATTAGGATTTAGATGGCCAGCTCAAGGGTATCTGGGCTGCACTGGAGACACTGCATGCTGATTCACGCTCGATGGGGATGCTCGCCAGTTTGCAGTCTGAGACTGTTGATGCCTGGCATGTCCTTTCAGCCAATCCTGAATGCTCCAGATCTGAGATAGTTCATTGTCTTAGAAGCAGAAGTGCGTCAACTCTTGTTTGGTTTTTCCACATGATTGATTCTCTGTGAAAACTGCCAACAAGGAACACATAGTCGAAACAGTGTTGCCGCATCCCAATGAGTAGCATTGACTCACAGAAAACCTGACCCGCAATCAAATCCCGTGCTGCCCACATACATGCATTTGCATTTGTTGATACGTGTATTTGTTTAATCCTAGTTTTCGGGCCAACCATTTTTTCTTTGGACGGCGGGGTTTGAGCTTTCTCGAGGACAATGACTGCCGGGCCTGGTCTTTTGCACCTTGGACCTGGGGGGTTTCCAATCAAGCCACGCCTTCAACTGGGGCGACATGGAGACCCGGCAAGCGGCGCCCCGAAAGGAGTTTCCTCGTAGAGGCGTTTTTGGAGATTCTGCGCGGTTTTGTTTGTGCGGACTCTGACTTCACTTGTTCCACCTCCTTGGTTTCGCACCCGTCACTTCCAGCATGAAAGCTCGTTCCTGTTTGTTGTTGCTTGGTTCCCTTGCAGAGAATCTAGACAGCAAGAAGCAGCTGGGCAACTTACTCATGCGCATCAGACACCAGCAGAAGATGACTTTGAGAGTTTACCGGGCAAACACTAGGCCCTGTCTTGGGTTGTGAACACACGGGTTCCGCAACGACCGTTGTTTTTTAACAGCCCCCAGTGTGAGTGATGATCGACGAGCCACGTGACCATACTCCTCGTGTAACAACCGCTGAAATAAAGCATGTGCAAAGCAAGTTAATCAGGAAGACTCTCGAGGTCACCAGACGACTCGTCTGGCTTCAGTGGGGTTCAATGAGGAAGTAACAGTAGGTTGCCTCATGATTTTTGTCTGGCAAAATAAAAACCCTCCCCCCCGTTCTAAGTTGAACAACCGCAGGTTGCAACTGGGGGTGGAAGTAAATGGTACCATGCCCTTTCTGTGTTTCATCATGTCCTTTACTCACCAGCAGAGACCTTATTGCCTTTATCCTCCCCTTCTCCTTCCCCTCAAACTTCCCCTCCTCCCTCCCTTCCCTTCAACCTTCTTTTTCCGCAATGCCTTTCTCATTCCCTTCACCTTTGTGACCTCATCCCATCTACTCATGTCCTGTCTTCACCCTCATCCTGGTAAAGATGAGATTAGCGAATCAAAGACCTTTGTAGTTTCATCTGTCAACTTTCTCATGCCCCCTCTACCTTCACCCAATTATCATCATCATGGTTAAGATATACCTCAACATCCAAAAGTCTATTTTCACTCACGCACCAGCATCATGCCTCATTGCCCATCTGTATCATCACGCCCCAATCCTCTTGCGTTTGCTCAGGTCATGGCCAACGGAACGAGCGCCGAGTGCCGCCAGAAGTTCAACGTGCTTCGGGCCATGGCCAGCGGCTCCATGGTAGGCGCGGAGCAGAGAGCTCGGAGGTGGCCGTTTTGCTCCTTTGGAAAGTGGGACATGGGGGATAAAATCAAACCAGGACACCAATCGACTTGGTTCCAACGAAAATTGGATGACAACCAAGGAAGTTGAATTTGATATTACCTTTTGGTTGGTGCTTGAAGGCCAATCAAAAAGGAAAGGGGGGAGGTAAACCGTCTCCCTTGTGGCTGATTTCGGAGTCAAATGGGCACTTGGATGCTGAGCGTCCTGAGCGGATCAACGGACACTGGCGCAAAAAGTCAAACAGCATTTCAGAATGAAACTCGTAGCTGGAAGCAGGAGGAGGGAGCCAGTGGGACTGCAGTGGGTTTCCCAAACTGTGTTGGAGATTGTTGGAGATAAAACCACTTGTCGGCAAAGCATTGAACAATTCTGACACCTTCAATAAACGGGTGGGGTTCCAGGCCTGTTGGACAAGTGAACAAATGGTGGCAAGGCGATCACTCCGAGTGCAAGTTTGACAGGTTCAGACAATGTTGAAGCCAACGGACAGCCTCCTTATCTCTCAAATTCCCAAGGCGACTTCTCGTGGACTCGTGGTCGTGTCTCAAACGCGTCTTGTCCAAGCTCGAAGGCGTTAAGGTGCAGGAGCCCTTCTATTGCGCTGCGCCTTGGGCGAAAAGGAGAACAGGCACAGACATGTCGGCTCAAAAATCAAAAACTGACCCAACAGAGTTGCTTTGCTTTGGGCTCCCTTTGCAAGGGTGCCCTACTTGGACACGACCTTTGCTGCCACGTCCCTCAAAAAAGGGCTGGGTGCTCGCATTCTCTTGGAGGTGTTTGGGCATGGCAATATGGCTGTGCTTTGTCACATTCCTGCTTCGCCATGATTGAAGCCGAAGCAGATGGGTCAGACAACGAGGTTTTTCAGGTTTGAGCACGAGATTTGACCGGAATAAGGCCCCTTAGTGCCTTGATTCCCAAGTATGGCTTCATAGATACATTGTTTATATATATATATATTGTTTCATATGTCTGGATATATATATATATACGTATATACATATATATACATATGTATGACAGTTCGCAAAAGACAAACTTCGGCTTTCCGCCTTGTAGTGCCAGTAGAGCGAAATATGCAAAACTAGAATCTGCAAAAGTAAAGCTGTTCTTACTCTTGGCTGTTTTACTTGTTTACTTCCCCATGGTAAAAGTAAACACGTGGAAAGCGTTAAAACAAAACAAAACGCGGCAGAATGACATGTTGCTTTTACTTCTGGCAGTTGTTTGCTTCTGGCAGTTTTACTTTTCTACTGCCCCGCCAGCAAAATCAAACACGTAGAACAGGAACAGGTTTGGCACCATGAAAAGCATAAAACTGTTTCTACTTGTGGGAGGTATACTTGTTTACTCTCGCTCAGTAAAGGTTAAGTTTGGCCCTATGGAAGTAAAACGTAAGACAGCAACATACAATACAAACCGTGTTTACCTCTGGCTGTTTTTTTGTCTACTTTTCCCCAGTCAAAGTAAACCACAACAACATAAACAATTCGAAAGTCTGGACCCGTGAAAAAGTACAGCCGTCAATATGTGTTTACTTCAGGCTGTGTTTTTGTTTACTTATCATAGTTCCAACTGCTTGATTTTTTGTTTTTTTAAAACTTTCACTCGTTTATAAACAGGTAAAACTGTGAGCTAGTTCCAAGGGCCCCGAAAATGTGCGTGTCGAGAATGTCCGAAGTCCGAAAATGGGGGGCGGGTCAGCTCCTGTTGGCTTTCCCTTTCGACATCGTCCAGCTGGCTCGAGGAACTAAGCGTCTTTGAGGTACCAATTTCACACTGGTGTATAGTAGCAGGGCGCCATGCACAATGGGCGCATCAGCGGTTATTTGCGGATACCTCAAAGCTATGTGATCCAATTAATGGAGCAGCCCTTCGGACTTCAGTACAGAGCCAACAGAAGAATTGTTTATTCAATGAGCAGGAACCCCTTTTGCCGTCGGTGTCAGGTCAGCTGCCGGGGATGGCGGATGTCACAATCTACCCCGAACCGTGCCGTTCTTTGCTTGGCTAGTTTGACATGTTTGGTTGGCCTTCCGATCAACCCATCGATGGGAGCCGATACCCTATGCTTTGCCCTAGGTGGACTACCAGCCAGTCACGGGGGAAATGGCCGATGTGGATGTGCGATGTGGTGACTTCCAGGACAAGCCGAGTGACCGGCTAATTATTTACACGCTGACGCGACACAGCCGGCCACCGGGCACCTTGCCCTGCCCGTTCTGTCACTTCCCTTTCCGGTAAGTCCGATGAGTAGATGTTAAGATTAAAAAAATCTAAACACTTTGAGATTCTAAGGGTCTCAGATTTGAAGACTTTTGGAATTTAAGGCTTCAATGGTTTAAGAATTAAGGTTTTAAGATTCAAAGACTTAAGGTGTTTGAAGGTTATAACAGCCAGGCCATTGCCCAGCCATTTTCCATCCATTATCAGATTTCGAAGGCTTTAAGATTTTATTTTTGGCGAGATTTTCAGATTTGGCGACTTTCGGAATGGAAGATTTTAAGATCTTAAGATGTCAAGACTTCAAAATTTCAAGATTAAGAGTTTAAGGAATTTAGAATATAGCCCGGATTGAAGGAATTTTATTATATTTTACTTGTTTATGAATTTAAGATTTTCAGATTGCAATAGTTCGAGATTTAAAGAATTTAAGTTTTTGAAGCTTTTAAGATTCTGAGATTTTAAGATTTTGAGAATTTAGGAGTTTCATATTTTAAGATTTTAACATCTGAAGATTCAAAGACATGAGGGTTTCTGTCACTTCCCTTTCCTGTAAGTCCGATGAGTAGATGTTAAGATTTCAAAATTCTAAAAACTTTGAGAGTCTAAGGGTCTCAGATTTGAAGACTTTTGGAATTTAAGGTTTCAATGGTTTAAGAAGTAAGGTTCTAAGATTCGAAGATTTAAGGTTTTGAAGGTTATAACAGCCAGGCCATTGCCCAGCCATTTTCCATCCATTATCAGATTTCGAAGGCTTTAAGATTTTAGTTTTTGTGAGATTTTCAGATTTGGCGACTTTCGGAATTTAAGATTTTAAGATCTTAAGATGTCAAGACTTCAAACTTTGAAGATTAAGAGTTTAAGGAATTTAGAATATAGCCCGGATTGAAGGAATTTTATTATATTTTACTTGTTTATGAATTTAAGATTTTCAGATTGCAATAGTTCGAGATTTAAAGAATTTAAGTTTTTGAAGCTTTTAAGATTCTGAGATTTTAAGAGTTTGAGAATTTCGGAATTTCATGTTTTAAGATTTTAACATCTGAAGATTCAACGACATGAGGGTTTTAAGAAGTCAAGATTCGAAGACTTGAGGATGTTTATATTTTCAGGATGCAAGATTCTATCTTCTAAGGTTGTAATTTTAAGATCTTAAGGTTTCAAGATTTCAAAAATTCAAGATTAAGAGTTTAAGGAAGTTAAAATATAGCCCGGATTGAAGGAAGGTAATATTTTAATAATTTAAGATTTTCAGATTTCAATTGTTCGAGGTTTAAAGAATTTAAGTTGTTAAAGCTTTTTAAGATTCTGAGATTTTAAGATTGTAAGACTTTAGGAATTTCATATTTTAAAAGTTTAAGATCTCAAGATTCTAAGACATAAGGTTTTTAAGGTTTCAAGATTCGAAGACTTTAGGATTTTTTTTATATTTTCAGATTTTAAGATTCTAAGTTCTAAGATTTTAAGATCTTGAGATTCTAAGATTGATTGTTAGATTTTAATTTAAGATTTTAAGAATCTATTACTTTAGGATTTTGAGATTTCAATCCAGGCCATTTTCCATCCATTTTCCATCCACTTTAGATTTTAAGATTTTCAGGCTGCACGTTTTCGGCAAAATTGGCCCGACTTAGGGGACAACATCCCCAGCATCACCCGCATCGCCAGCATGCATGACATCATCCGCATCATCCGTGATGATGCTGGCAATGCTGAGGGTGTTTTCCAGTATTAGGCACCCCCTAAAAATGCTCGTTTTTGGACTCGGTTTTCGGCGCTGCGGGGAGATGCTACAACAATCCTCGGAAATCGCCTAAACCAATCCGCAAATCCTTCGCCCCTTATAAGGGAGGGCCCAGCATAAAACGTATGCGCATGTTCTGCGCATGTTCTGCGCATGTTCCGCGCATGTTCGGCGCATGGTCGGCGGCATGGGGCGCGCGGCCTTATACCTGAAGGTAAGCCCTAACGGGCTTTGGCCTGCGGCCCGATCACGTCCGGTGGGCGGATTTACACGCTGACGCGACACAGCCGGCCACCGGGCACCCCTCCCGTTCTTTCATCTCCTTTCCCTCTAAGTTTCCTGGCATGTCCCTTCACTTCCTTCCACTTCACTGCCGCTTCAGCTCCCTTCATTTCCTTGAAGACTCCTTCATTCGCATTCCTTTCCCTTTTCGATCTTTCATTTTCCTGCAGCTTGGTTTCTCTCCAGCGCCCTCTTCATTTTCGTGCAATGCCTTTGACTTGCATTTCGTTCACTTTCCAGTCACTCCTGTTTCCTTTCAGCCCCTTGTTTCGCATCGCCAGCATGCATAGCATCATCCGCATCATCCGGGATGATGCTGGCAATGCTGGGGGTGTTGTCCAGTATTATGCACCCCCCAAAAATACTCGTTTTTGGACTCGTTTTTGGATGCTGCGGGGAGATGCTACAAAAAACGCCTAAACCAATCCGCAAATCCTTCGCCCCTTATAAGGGAGGGCCCAGCATAAAACGTATGCGCATGTTCTGGTCATGGTCCGCGCATGGTCGGCGGCATGGGGCGCGCGGCCTTATACCTGAAGGTAAGCCCTAACGGGCTTTGGCCTGCGGCCCGATCACGTCCGGTGGCCGGATTTACACGCTGACGCGATACAGCCGGCCACCGGGCACCTTGCCCTGCTCGTTCTGTACTTCCCTTTCCTGTAAGTCCGATTAGTAGATGTTAAGGTTTTCAGATTCTAAAAACTTTGAGATTCTAAGGGTCTCAGATTTGAAGACTGTCGGAATTTAAGGTTTCAAGGGTTTAAGAATTAAGGTTTTAAGATTTAAAGTTTTTGAAGGTTTTAACAGCCAGGCCATTGCCCAGCCATTTTCCATCTATTATCAGATTTCGAAGGCTTTAAGATTTATTTTCGGAGATGTTCAGATTTGGCGACTTTCGGAATTTAAGATTTTAAGATCTCAAGATTTCAAGGCTTCAAAGTTTCAAGATTAAGAGTTTAAGGAATTTCAAATATAGCTACGACTGCAAATGAGAACATGAGAGTCCCGTCCCAGAGACTTGCACGCTTGACAACAAGCACCCCAGCGCGAGCCCTCGTGCAAACTGCCCGACTGCTACAACCACAGAAGCACGCTAACACGCGAAACCCACACGCGTAGGCTGCAGCATCACGCATGCGTAGACCGGAACCATGGCGGAAGTTGCCCGAAGTTGCCCCCAGGGCGCTTCTCAGTCATGTGCCTGTGCAGTCAGGGAGACGAAGCAGGAGCCGCGACTGCAAACGCGCTCGAACGGGTGGAGGCGGCAAGTTGCCCACAGGGCGCCTCTCAGTCATATACCGCTTCAGCCATGGAGAAAAGGCGCTGGTCGCGCTAGCCGGGGAGTGCAGGTTGCAGTTGCTTCCGTTGGATGTCTCCCGCCCTGTCACTTCATTTTCCTGCATTTGAAAGTCGCTACTCGTTATCTACCTGAAAGTTGCCCGCAGGGTGCTTCAAGAAGTGGAAGGAGGGCAGGTGCCAGCCCGTCAAACCCACTCCCGCACTTCCAGTCCCTGCACGTCCTTTCCTCTCCTGTCACTCGAGCCCCGTCCATGTTCCCATCCATTTCCAAGCCATCCCAGCTGTTTTCTCCTTTAGTGTACTTTTTTTTGTAGTTACCAGCAATCATCCACAAATGCCTATTCATCTTCCATCCGTTTTCCACCAGGTCCACTCCTTCCATACATTATTACGCATCCATTCTCCAACACTGTTCCACCCGCTTCCACAAGCTGCCAGCAGTGTCGCCGTAAGAGCAGTTTGGCAGTTTCAAGGGAAGCCGATGGAAGCTAAGGGGCGCCAGACAACACAAGCAGACGGAACACACCGCATCTGTTGACCGTGCGCGGCACAGCGTCGCGAGGCATTTTGCAAGCGTAGTTTGGCAGTTTTAAGGAAGGCCGAGTGAAGCCAAGGGACTCCAAACAACATGAGCAGATTGAACAACCCACAGCCGTGCAGCGCGCGTGGCCACGCGCTTCGCCCTTTTTTTCTCTCGCGCACCAGAGCGTAGCTCCGGGCGCCTGAGTGTCCCAGTCCGAGGCAGTGTCTGCTGCAAGTGAAACAGAGGGAAGCCGAGTGAAGCCAAGGGAAGCCAAACAAAGCTAGACAACACGAGCAGATTGAACAACCCACTCCTGTCGACCGCGCGCTGCACGCAGGGCCGTGCCTAACCCAGGCAGGGTCGTGGCACAAGCAACGTCAGGTGTCACACAGCGCCTGAAAAATGTTCGTCGCACAAGCAGCAACATGTTTCACATAGCAGCCACAAAGAATGTTCATCGTGCTTGCAGCAACACGTTTCACGCGGCAGCTCGTGATGACGTTCGCCGCAGAAGCAGCAACATTTCTCGCGCAGCAGCTTTCAAAAACATGCGTCGCATCAGCAGCAACATGTGTCACACAGCAGCCACTGCAAACGTCAGTCGCTCAAGCAGCAACATGTGTCACGCAACAGTCACGTCGGACTAGCAGCAACATGTATGACGCAACAGATTCGTCGCAGTA